GGCCTGTCAACACAATGTATACATGGTTCTCGTGATCAGGTACATAATGCATTAACTTAATTAGAGTAATCTCAGTCTCAGAACATAAAATTTATAAACTTATAAACTTAAAAAAATTGTCTTTAGACCGATCGAGAACAAGCACTGGCTGATATAGCGTCAGGTGATATACAGGTTTTGATAGCGACAGATGTTGCTTCAAGAGGTTTAGATATTGAGGATATTACGTAAGTGCTTAGTAGTATTTGAAACCGAATTTGTTGTATTAATTGTTTTTCATTTAGTCATGTTATTAATTTTGATTTTCCGCGTAATATTGAGGAGTATGTTCATCGTGTTGGTAGAACTGGACGCGCTGGGCGAACTGGCACTGCCATAAGTTATATAACACGCTCGGATTGGGGTGTTGCAAAGGATCTCATTCGTATTTTAGAAGAAGCTGGTCAAGCAGCTCCAGAAGAACTATACAGAATGTCCAATCGTTTTGAGAAGATGAAAGAAAGACGTGGTACAGATTTTAAAAGGGGTGGTGGTTTTAATCGCCGTTACTAAATGATATTTTTTTAATATATGGTAGGGGTATTATTCGATAAACAAGATCGTGAATAACCCTGTTTGATTCGAACCGATCAGTGTTTTACTTAAAAAAGTGTTGATCGTTAAAATTGAAAATTAATTAATAAACTATTTCTAATGTTATTAGTATAATAATGTACAATAAGAAAAATCTAAAATAAAATTAATTAAAAATGTGTATTATTTAAATTGAAATACAAAATTACATTTTAGAATAAATTTTTAAATAAGAAATATTTAAAATATGTTTTTTATACAGTGAACTTTGTTAATTTAATAAATTTAATCAATTACAACTTTATGATGATTCTATTGTGTTCTTACTTTTTCGTTTGTAAAAGTTTCAACTTTTTCCTGAAAATAAGATATTTTATTTGAAATTTTTTTAAGATGGAGATTAATTATTTGTACAGGCAACGATGTGAGTTAAATATTGTAATCGCTATATACGATTTTTAATCAGAGGCTGATAAAGTTGATTAAATTTCTGTATTAGTAAGTTTTCTAGTTGTTTCATTTAAAATGAATTTTAATAGGATTCAGTTTTAATAGGATTCATAAATGTATTGGATGAGGTATAAAATGAACTTAATATAAAATATATATTTTTTTCACATTATACATATTTAATTTGAATGTTATTTTAAACAGACAATTGATAGACAATTGATCACTGCTCAAGTATAGTACTGTAGTCAAGTCAAGGTCAAGTCAAGCCAATGAATGCCATTATACTAACTTGAAATCTTTACTATCACTTCGAATGATCATTTCTCACTAAGCCATAGATAAGACCTCCTAAGAAATCAATTCATCTGATCAGCGAAGATCGTTATCGATGTCATTTGAAATAAATCTTTAATTTAATTAATTTAAATAATAAACGTCATTTAATTTAATAAAATTTGTTAAAGTTGTATACATATAATATTTAATAAAAGCAGCTATACGCAGATACGTGTTAACATGACTGTCTGATTAAATGGAAAAGAAAGAAATTAGAAAGCACGCTTTCCAAATATTGATAAATTTTATCAATAATTTTATTTTATTATTCCATTGCGAGTGTAGATATATATTGTTCGATTTGTGGACTATAGAACAAGTAACATATAGTTGTTCATGTGGAAGATTATCTGTGTTGAGAGTTGAACCACAGTATCCTAAATATTGAACTAAGCTCGCTTTAGATGGTGATTGCAGACGCCAATAGAATTGTGAATTGCAATCTTTTGAATTGAAATGGCATATCCGTTAGAATTATTGGATTGCGGAGCTTAAAGGCATCTTTACCTTTGAGAGAGATCTCTAATATTTGTATGATTAATATAATATTGTGATATATGATAATTGATACTACGATTTTCAATCACAGTAAATGGGGTAGAGTCGATTACGGTTAGAGTGAATTAAAAAATTCTGTTTGATATTTAATCCGTTTGTATGATTTCTTATTTACATGTCGGTTGCTAATTAACAGAATTTCAAAGTGAATTGAGTAGCTCTTCAAAATGATGTAGCATTTATCATTATCATTTTAGAATGAAATTATTTTTCAATATTTTATAACACTCGCGACAAAAGATTGGCCATTGATAAATCAATAGACACAAAAGGGAAAACCAAACGATATATTTTGAATAAATCACCGCCTATTGCACAAAATATATAAAAAATCATTAACATAATTATTAATATAATGAACTCAAAAACAATCCGAGCTACTCTGACGAAATAGATCTTTAATTTTGAGATCTCTAGTTGCCTCTTTCTCTGCAAATTTAGCAGATTTTTCATTTACGTTGGTATCAGGTACAGGCACAGGGTTTTGACGACGTATTCCAGACGTAAGTGCTTCCAAAATTTCTTAAGAGATCACATTTTTGTTTCTTTCCACGACTGATCTCTGTTTGACATTAGTATGACATTTTTAATGTTGTACCTTTTGCAGAAAGTTTTATGGTATATTGATTCTCAAACCAGCTCTTACTTGCATTATAAAAGACATGTTTGTCGTTTTCTTCACTGTTAAGCAAAACACGATCAGAAATACGGCTGGGTCGTTAATCGAGGTTACTGTTGTACGAAGTAGCTGTTAATCGAGTTATTAGTGTATAGGTTCTTCTGAGACGCTCTTCTCAGAATGCTAATCGGTACATTGTTCTTATCAATGTAACCGTAATTTTATGAATTGAATTTGATATGATTATATGAATTTGATATGAACATGTCAGAACTTTGTAAACTTTTATAATTTAACACATGTAGTATGAAAATAGTATGTGGGCTTACCTATTAAATAGTGTGCTAATCCGATTTATCCCCTTGTGAAATTCATTTGTGTCCAAAAAGTCTAAACCAAATTAATATAGTTACATCACGCAAATTTGAGTATGGGCTGCCAAATGTATTTATATTAATTTTGAAAGAACGACACAAGTTTTCTTGTTCATTGGTTACTTTTGCAAGAGACGAGTCGGTGGTCGGATCGTTTTTTTAGCGGCTTGTGTTTTTTCAATTGGATTTGGTTTTAAGGCTGGTATGTATCTTCCTCCAAAAAATTCGTGTTTCGTGATTCATGATTCGTGATTCGTGATACTTGATACGTGTTTCATGACTTCAGTTCGAATATATGTTCAACTTTTTTCAATTAATTCTGGAACTTGTTAAAAATATTTTATAGTATTAAGAATTTTTGATTTGTTTTCGCAACCGACAAGAACTTGAAACAGCCGCCAATTTTGCTTGTTCCAAGAAATAACTGCAAATATAATGCACATATTAAACAAAAAGTTTTAAAGAAATTATTGTTTCTTTATTTAAAGAATTTTAAAACTATAATTAAAAAACAAAAATTAACTATAAAAAAAAATCACTGCAATTCACATATATTTAAGGTTATGTGACGTATTTGCAAAAAAAATCTCCATTTGAAATATTTATATAAGAATCATTGCGTGATGAGACTTAAGAAGGCGGCGGCAGTATTATTTTCGACATACTTTAAACATAAGAGTGCAATTGCTTTATTCCCTAATAATCAATGTTAAACATATTTTTAATTCTAATAGTCAATTTTAAATACCGTTTCATATCTTATGATTGAGGAGTTCGTAAAAGCGGTCGCGATTTGAATGTTTGAAATTTGGTTTGTTTTATAGAAAACGGAATAATCAGGTATTCCTTTATTTAGATTTTGCTTACTTCAAAATGGATACTTTTGGAACTGGTGCAACTCAATCTGAAAGGAACGAGTGTGGAGTTTTAAACTCAAACTTAAATCATTTTGATGATTTTATGGAGAAATTTCCTGCAGACCCTGCTTACATTGGTGCCATAATTGGTCGTGGCGGTTGTAAAATTAAAGAAATTAGAACAAACTTCAACGTTTATATACATATAAACAATGACACCAAGGAAATTTCTGTCAAGGGTCGTAATAGAAAAAATGTTGACGATGCAGTCAAATATATTCGTGATATTATGTCTGGTCAAGAAAATAGAAATTTTTCATTTCCAAATCACGAAGTCTCGCATAATCCCAAAGTTGTGTTAAAAGAAAATACAATGAATCGTTTTAATGCTTCTTCCGAAAATGACAATATTCAGGTTGCAGCTCCAAAATTTGTAAGTATGAATTAAAAAGAAGGAGAATATGGATATAATTAATATAATATCTCATAACAAAATTGATTTAGGGAGAAAGTGGTGGAATTAGATTAAATGCGCCTACGAAAAATGTATATAATGGTGGCGCCGAAAACCATGTAGTATTGCAGCCTATCGATTGGGAAACTTTGAATAGAAAAGTTGTAAGAAAAATTTTTAAAATCTACATATTAAGTTATCGATTTACCATATTTATTTTGCTCACATGAGGCATTTTTGATTACAGGAAGAACATCGTAGGTTACACTGGGCGCATCTGCCAGACTTGAGAAAAAATTTTTATGAAGAAGTAGAGGAAGTCGCTATTAAGACAGAAGAAGAAGTGAATGAAATGCGTTATTTAAACAATAATATAAGTGTTTCCCGTTTGGTGACAAATGAAGATCAAATGTGTCCTGATATACCGAAACCAATTTGGAAATTTCAACATTGTTTCAAAGATTATCCTGATATCCTTGATGAGTTAAAGAAACAAAATTTTAATGAACCATCACCAATACAGAAGCAAGCATGGCCTATATTATTGAGAGGCGAGGATATGATAGGTATAGCCCAAACAGGGACTGGAAAAACTTTAGCATTTCTGCTTCCTGCTTTGATTCATACTGATGGACAGACTACACCACGTGAGAAACGTAATGGTCCAAATATATTAATTTTAGCGCCAACGCGAGAATTAGCATTACAAATAGCAAAAGAAGTTAACAAGTACTCGTTCCGTGGAATAAAAGCGTAAGTTAGGAAATAGTTAAACCATAGTTTAAAATGAATGAAGAAAAAAAATTATGAAATTCTTATTCAGTGTATGCATTTATGGTGGTGGGAATCGTCGTGACCAAATTAGTGTTTTCAAAGAAGGAGCTGAATGCGTTATTTGTACTCCTGGACGTCTTAATGATTTGGTTCAAGCTAAAGTTATAGACATTACATCAGTTACATATTTAATACTAGACGAAGCGGATCGTATGCTGGATATGGGTTTCGAGCCACAGATCCGAAAAATTCTACTCGACATACGTCCTGACAGGCAGACCGTCATGACTAGTGCCACCTGGCCACCAAGTGTTGGTAGATTGGCCGAAAGTTATATGAACAATCCTATTCAAGTGTGTGTTGGTTCGCTTGATTTAACTGCCACTCATACTGTGAGTCAAAATGTAGAACTCTTGGAGGATGCGGACAAATTTAATACGGTAATATTATTTGAAAACTTAAATAAGAAGAATTATGAAGAACAATGTATTTATTCTTGCTGCAGGTCCTTGCATTTTTAAAAAACCTTAAATCAACCGATAAGGTTATTATCTTCTGTTCTAAGCGAGCTCGTGCTGACGATTTGTCCAGTGATTTATCTCTAAAAGGCCTGTCAACACAATGTATACATGGTTCTCGTGATCAGGTACATAATGCATTAACTTAATTAGAGTAATCTCAGTCTCAGAACATAAAATTTATAAACTTATAAACTTAAAAAAATTGTCTTTAGACCGATCGAGAACAAGCACTGGCTGATATAGCGTCAGGTGATATACAGGTTTTGATAGCGACAGATGTTGCTTCAAGAGGTTTAGATATTGAGGATATTACGTAAGTGCTTAGTAGTATTTGAAACCGAATTTGTTGTATTAATTGTTTTTCATTTAGTCATGTTATTAATTTTGATTTTCCGCGTAATATTGAGGAGTATGTTCATCGTGTTGGTAGAACTGGACGCGCTGGGCGAACTGGCACTGCCATAAGTTATATAACACGCTCGGATTGGGGTGTTGCAAAGGATCTCATTCGTATTTTAGAAGAAGCTGGTCAAGCAGCTCCAGAAGAACTATACAGAATGTCCAATCGTTTTGAGAAGATGAAAGAAAGACGTGGTACAGATTTTAAAAGGGGTGGTGGTTTTAATCGCCGTTACTAAATGATATTTTTTTAATATATGGTAGGGGTATTATTCGATAAACAAGATCGTGAATAACCCTGTTTGATTCGAACCGATCAGTGTTTTACTTAAAAAAGTGTTGATCGTTAAAATATTGAAAATTAATTAATAAACTATTTCTAATGTTATTAGTATAATAATGTACAATAAGAAAAATCTAAAATAAAATTAATTAAAAATGTGTATTATTTAAATTGAAATACAAAATTACATTTTAGAATAAATTTTTAAATAAGAAATATTTAAAATATGTTTTTTATACAGTGAACTTTGTTAATTTAATAAATTTAATCAATTACAACTTTATGATGATTCTATTGTGTTCTTACTTTTTCGTTTGTAAAAGTTTCAACTTTTTCCTGAAAATAAGATATTTTATTTGAAATTTTTTTAAGATGGAGATTAATTATTTGTACAGGCAACGATGTGAGTTAAATATTGTAATCGCTATATACGATTTTTAATCAGAGGCTGATAAAGTTGATTAAATTTCTGTATTAGTAAGTTTTCTAGTTGTTTCATTTAAAATGAATTTTAATAGGATTCGGTTTTAATAGGATTCATAAATGTATTGGATGTGGTATAAAATGAACTTAATATAAAATATATATTTTTTTCACATTATACATTTTTAATTTGAATGTTATTTTAAACAGACAATTGATAGACAATTGATCACTGCTCAAGTATAGTACTGTAGGTCAAGTCAAGGTCAAGTCAAGGTCAAGTCAAGCCAATGAATGCCATTATACTAACTTGAAATCTTTACTATCACTTCGAATGATCATTTCTCACTAAGCCATAGATAAGACCTCCTAAGAAATCAATTCATCTGATCAGCGAAGATCGTTATCGATGTCATTTGAAATAAATCTTTAATTTAATTAATTTAAATAATAAACGTCATTTAATTTAATAAAATTTGTTAAAGTTGTATACATATAATATTTAATAAAAGCAGCTATACGCAGATACGTGTTAACATGGCTGTCTGATTAAATGGAAAAGAAAGAAATTAGAAAGCACGCTTTCCAAATATTGATAAATTTTATCAATAATTTTATTTTATTATTCCATTGCGAGTGTAGATATATATTGTTCGATTTGTGGACTATAGAACAAGTAACATATAGTTGTTCATGTGGAAGATTATCTGTGTTGAGAGTTGAACCACAGTATCCTAAATATTGAACTAAGCTCGCTTTAGATGGTGATTGCAGACGCCAATAGAATTGTGAATTGCAATCTTTTGAATTGAAATGGCATATCCGTTAGAATTATTGGATTGCGGAGATTAAAGACATCTTTACCTTTGAGAGAGATCTGTAATATTTGTATGATTAATATAATATTGTGATATATGATAATTGATACTACGATTTTCAATCACAGTAAATGGGGTAGAGTCGATTACGGTTAGAGTGAATTAAAAAATTCTGTTTGATATTTAATCCGTTTGTATGATTTCTTATTTACATGTCGGTTGCTAATTAACAGAATTTCAAAGTGAATTGAGTAGCTCTTCAAAATGATGTAGCATTTATCATTATCATTTTAGAATGAAATTATTTTTCAATATTTTATAACACTCGCGACAAAAGATTGGCCATTGATAAATCAATAGACACAAAAGGGAAAACCAAACGATATATTTTGAATAAATCACCGCCTATTGCACAAAAAATATAAAAAATCATTAACATAATTATTAATATAATGAACTCAAAAACAATCCGAGCTACTCTGACGAAATAGATCTTTAATTTTGAGATCTCTAGTTGCCTCTTTCTCCGCAAATTTAGCAGATTTTTCATTTACGTTGGTATAAGGTACAGGCACAGGGTTTTGACGACGTATTCCAGACGTAAGTGCTTCCAAAATTTCTTAAGAGATCACATTTTTGTTTTTTTCCACGACTGATCTCTGTTTGACATTAGTATGACATTTTTAATGTTGTACCTTTTGCAGAAAGTTTTATGGTATATTGATTCTCAAACCAGCTCTTACTTGCATTATAAAAGACATGTTTGTCGTTTTCTTCACTGTTAAGCAAAACACGATCAGAAATACGGCTGGGTCGTTAATCGAGGTTACTGTTGTACGAAGTAGCTGTTAATCGAGTTATTAGTGTATAGGTTCTTCTGAGACGCTCTTCTCAGAATGCTAATCGGTACATTGTTCTTATCAATGTAACCGTAATTTTATGAATTGAATTTGATATGATTATATGAATTTGATATGAATATGTCAGAACTTTGTAAACTTTTATAATTTAACACATGTAGTATGAAAATAGTATGTGGGCTTACCTATTAAATAGTGTGCTAATCCGATTTATCCCCTTGTGAAATTCATTTGTGTCCAAAAAGTCTAAACCTAATTAATATAGTTACATC